ACAGTGTTCTACATACATGTATATATGTATGAGTAGAACGTTGACTTTACACCGATCAGGTACAGGCGGATAGGTAGGTGTTTAGGTGTGTAGGTAGGTAGTAGGTAGGAGTGTTGGTGTTAGTGTTGGTGTTGGTGTTGGTGTTCATTACACAGAATTGCCCATCAACTCTGGTCATTTCCAAATGAGAGATATTATTTGAAGAATGGTGGAGCATTTWAAAAAATAAACACTGTAATATCTCAATACTATTAAAAAGATTTGAAAAAGAATTGGAAAAAACGATTAAAAATATCTTTAAAGCAAAATTCGCGTGCATTTTCCCCAAATTGGGTATCAKTCTCCGCTCGGACAGCTTCTCGAACCAGTACCAAAATATATGCTGAGTTCGTGAGCAAATACGTCCGTTTTAAAGCGAGATCTGGAGACGAAATTATGGATATTAAGCGATAAATTAAAGAGGCCAAGTTTCTATGGCTATACAAATCGCGGCAAAAGTATGATTTCTTATGTCAAAAAAAGCACTGGAAAGTCTTCATTTTGGACTGTTTTGCTTTATTGGGTCAAAGTTAAAACTCCTGAAAAATCGCTACTTGCTTTCAGCTTCAAATAGAGCTGGATTTTGGAAGCAATCAAGCAATTCAGTTAATTTGAATGATTTTCTTCACGACGAACAGCAGGACCCGAACAAACTGCAGGAATGATAAATTTCCATACATATAAACACTACGAAACCTGAAATCGACCCACAACAAATCGCATGTTGGCAAATTGAATCACCAAAATAAATGGTAAGCTTATATTGTGTGGTTGTCATTCTTTAATATTCCTATGTTACTTTTCTTGCATTGACTTTCAATTTTCACAATGCGCTAAAACTTTCAATATTATGACTTTGCCTTATAAATATAAATGGCCGTGAGAGGAAAATCGATATTCGGAAACTGGAATCTAGTAATTTATTCTCTAATTTCCCGGATGTGTCACTCAATTCTGTGCGATGTTGGTGTCGGTGTGGGTGTGGGTGTGGGTGTCGGTGTGGGTGTGGGTGTTGGTGTTGGTGTTAGTGTAAGTAGGTAGGTAGGTAGGTTGGTACATAGGTAGGTAGGTGAAATGGTAAGTAGGTAGATAAGATGAGTAGGTAGGTAATGATAATAGGTAGGTAATAAATAACAATAATTTATAAAAAAAACTTAATATTACGTGAATGTTTATGTAATATTTGCACAATACTCCACAATACTTCTACTCGCTTGCTAATACTCCATTTTTACTATAGCGTTAACACTTCGCCACAAACCGCCATTACTCCAGATGACTACACAGAACCGATTCTTAACCACCGCTTCTTTGTTGGGGAGATTGAAAAAGATATCTCAGTAAATATAGTCAACGATAGACTTGTAGAAGATGATCAGACGTTCCAGCTTTCATTGACTGGTGTTGATGGAAGTACCTTGTTCTCGGACTGTAAGACTTCTAATGTAACTATTGTCAGCAATGACGGTAAGAGCCAAATGTATTGGTTAATTTGAACAATATGGATGAAGTTCGTGTCTGAGTGACTTAAAGCTTGCTGACGGATCGAATGATTGATCTTTGAATGCTTTCATTTCAGTGAACATATTCTGCAGAGATCGGAGAGGACATCAAAGGTTTTACGAGAACAGACAAGGTCCTGTACTCATGGAGTTCACGCGAGAAGGATCTCTGCAATACAACCACACAATGAGGTATGGCTTGCAACATCAAAAATATTCTAAGCAGATTTTCATGCTTAGGGACAGAAAATATCGTCACTTTCATCTACGCGTGAACCATATACTCTGTTGTATAAAGTCGATCTCGTTGGAAATGGACAAACGTTGACGTTTTAGCCGACAAACCTTTAAGTTTCAATAGAGAGTTAAAATGTCTAGATGTCTGTTGATGCGAACGACGGTAAATACAGATAGAACCATAAGAAAAGGAAAACAAAGGCGCGCGCGGAAAAAAAATGTTTTAGCGCTTTTTTGATCGATTTTTTTTACTCTTTTGCATTATGGATTAGAGCGCATGCAGTAAAACCATAAAATAAAAACAAAGTTGATACTGACAAAAAGTAGCTATTTAAAGTGACTAATAGTTACTAGAACTCAACCAGAACATTTATTAAACAAAAGACACAAATGGTCTCTTGTGTATTTATCTTTGTATGATCAATGTGCTGGTTGAGTGCTAGCAACTATTCATCACTAAATAGCTTCTATTTGTTAGTATCAACTTTGTTTTTAKTTCATGGTTTTACTGCACGCTCTCTACTCAACTTGACCTCAAATAACATGAAAATAATTAAAGTAGACTTTTCCCCCGATTTTATTTTCACCGTTTAATTGGGCTCCCCGTACGGTTCAGGCAGTAGTAGGTCAATCATATCGACTTTTTTTCTTAATCCTGATCAAAATCGCCTTTAGATAGACAATATGTTGGGTTAGGTACCAAGGGAAGTAACGACTAAAGTTAGCTAAAGACGCCATTAATTTATAACATTTAATATCTTATTGATTGATGATTCTTGACTTCCGTGTTTGGCAAAATTAGGCTCTTTCCAGGTGTATAGGAAATATATTTAAGTTAGAATGTCATGCGATCAGCATAGTTTGGGTTCCCTGTGGCACGTGATCCCACGTCCGCGTCTTCGCGCGTGGAAGAAGACCTCATGGCGCCAGTTAAAAATCTTTTCTTACTTTTTTTTATCCATTTTTCATCAGAAGACGCCAGGATGTAAGTAAATTTATGTTGTAATTTCAAGAAACTTTTCTCGATGATGACTTGAAGTAATYATTTTCTAGGTTTTACCACACATTGTAAGATTCTTTAAATAAAGTTTTGYGCGTTGAAGGACAGTGCCGTCTGAACAGCTCTAAAGGAGTACAACAGGACAGATTCACTGTCATTGACTGTTACTGACYTGCAAAAAATTGGAACTCCCTTATTCAAAAAGCACTTTTACTGGATTACTAGAGTTATCAACATTTGCCAGAAATTTCATGGGTAATTTACGACTTATTTGATGGTTTCGTCTTCTCA